TGGAAAGGGGCGATCGGGAGAGATGGGGTGCGGGCCCGGGGAGAGGGCCTGGGCGGCCTCCAGCCCCTCCCCGGGGGATCTTGCCCGGGTCCTAGCTTCTCCCACTGGGGAGCCCCACGCCTGACCGCGGGACCCTATGGGCTAGTTTCACTTTTTGCTTGCTCAACGCAGGAGGGAGGGCTGCAGGTGGGACGCCCTGGAGGAAGGTGCGAGGGCTCTCTCTCTCTCTCTCTTTTTTTTTTTTTTTTGACTTTGGCGTTGAGACCAAAGGCCGACTGTGAATTTCCACGTTTCACTCAGGCGCTGGGGTCATTCAGTAACCAGAGCCTCTGGAGGAAAACACCTGTCCACGGTGGGCCACCAGGAGTACTGGAGCAGTTGACCCCAGGTACCTTCGTCAAGAGGATTGTGAGCACTTAAGCTAGGTGGGAAATTTGTGCAGGATTTCTTTTTAACTTTGAGAGAAGATTAGTGGCACAGGGACATTTTTAGAAATGGCCTTCCAGACCTAACTTTTAAAGCAGTGTGGAAAGTCTTCTCTGAGAGAATGCTGAAGAGACTGGGCTCTTTTTCCTGGGAAACGAGAAGGCTGCTTGGATTTGAGACTGGAATGACTTGTCCAGAGATAAGATCTCTGATTTTGGGGATTGCACATAGGGTGCCGGTTGGGAGTGTTGGGTTTGTGGCTGTTGGAACTGAGTGGGAGCAGCTCTTTCTGCTGGGATGACATTTGGCAAACGGACTGTGCCTCATCAAAGAGATATCCATGGGTTGTGCACTTGGTCTCATTTGATTACTTCCTTACTGTCCTCTACCCTTATTAGACAAGCAGGACCCCTTCTCACTTTGGGAATTAGTCTATAAGGCTGTTTCCTAGCATCATGCCCTGTGTTCTGTGATTACATTGTTTATTCCAAAGGCAGTTACATGTGATGGCATTCTCCTCTACCTTTGCTCTTGGTGGTGTGTGCTCCTTGGAATGGCTAGGTTCAGCAGGTGGATGTCGGCTGGGTGGCTGACCTAGCTCAGCCGGGACCTGCTGGAGGCCTTGTGTGTGACCCCACCTGGGCTTATCTGTACAGCCTCATGGCAGGAGGTCTAGGTCTTGGAAGTTGCCTCTGGAATGGGTGGGAAGTGGGTTACACAGCGTCTCCTAGGAAGGGAAGACAATGGGAGGGATGCTGGAGTTGAAGGGAGGTCTCTGTCTCTGCTTCCAGATACAGGCCCAGCATCGGGGAAAGGAAGTGTCTGTGTACTACAGAGGACTGGGGAAACTGAGCAGAAGGTTACTGCTCTACTTTGGAAGTTACAAAAGAGCGTCCACCACAGGGGTCCATGTTTACTTCCCTGCTGGTGCTTGTAGCTGTGACCCCTGTGCTGACAGGCTCTGGGGTCTGAGCAGCAGGGCCAGCCGCTAGTCCAGGATTCTGTCACAAATTGCCACAGCCAGAATTTAAATTCAGAGCAAGGGGACTCCCATCTTCTCAGCTCTATCAGGGTAGTAAGTCTGTAAACTTAAGTCTCTGGCCCAGTTGGAGGCAGGTAGGGCATAGCAAGATCTTTTTATAGCTGGGGAAAAGCAAAGATGGAAATTTACAGTTGTTTCAGGGCTCAGAATGGAAGCATTGATTCAGTCTCACCCCTGACAAGCTGATGCAGGTTCTGTGGTCCAGTCCCATTTAGCCCTCACAAGATGGAGCTGGTACCCCTTTCTCTGACTTGTGGCTTTGCTCGGTCCTGCAGTGCGACTCCATGGCACAGCTTTTCAGATGCAGCGCTGGAGCCTGGGCATTCCCCACTCCCTCTCTTGCCAAAGCAATGTCTGCTTCCCCTACGCTCCTCTCCCTTATCCCACACTCTTCTCCTTTCTCTCACAAGCTTCTCCCCTCCGGGCCGGCCTTGTGTGCAACTCTCTGATTCTTCCCGTCTTATGCTGTGGCTGGTGAGGTTGGAACAGCTTGTCTCTGGGCGTGACTGGCCACCTTCCTCCAGAGCCATCCTGTTGACTTCTCTGACATGAGCCCTGTAGCTGCTTAGTCCTCTCATTGAGAAGTTTCTGCAGCTATGGGGTTGTGCTGAGTTTTGTAAAACAGTTGCTCAGGGAAGAATGTTGGGATCGGAAGTAATTTTCCAAGCTGTAAAGTGAATAGCCGAACGTTGCATCATTCCTAGAACAGCCTCATCATAACTGCAGGATTCATTTGAGCTTATTAACCTCACAGTGCTTTGTTTCAGGCAGCGGCAATAGGGGCTCCTCTTTGCACAGTCTTGCTGCCTTGTTTAGATTCCGACATGTTCCGATCTTGTTTGTCAGGCAAAGTCCAGGGGCGCACACCTGGGCCTGTCTGTGCTTAGTTGTAGGGATGGAGAGGCAGGCTGATGGGGCCACTGGGGTAAGTGGATGCCTTGCGCAGTGCCCCCTCTCTCCTCCACCTTGATGGGAGAAACAGAGACGGGGTATGCTTTAGATATCAGTGAGTATGAGTGGAGGGCTGAACACGCCCATCTTTCAGGATGTGACAGGCAGAAGCCTCCCTCCTGGCTGGAGTGCTTTGCGTCACTTCGGACTAGAAGCCGAGGCTAGGTGCTTTTAATGGGAGCAGGGTGCCAGCGGCCCAAAGGCCTGTCCCGCCGTGACCCAGGAGCCATGCATCATTGATGGGCAGTGTCTCTGCTCCTTTTGGGAAACAGTGACCCAGGAGCCATGCATCATTGATGGGCAGGGTCTCTGCTCCTTTTGGGAAATGGGGGTGAGATCCGTGATAAATGACAGTGACAGTGACTATAGAGTAGTGGGCGAAAGCTCCTGCGGGGCAGAGCCTCTCCCCAGCCCTGGAGCTCCGGCTCTGGCCTTCTGCCTCCCTGTCACTGCTGGCTGGCCAGGGGTGGTCTTCCTCCAGCAATGTGCTGACTAGAACATTCGGTAGCATGTGCTGCTATTACATTCGCCCCTAGTTTTAAAACAAATTTGTTTACTTATTGCGTATGTGTGCCTGCGTAGGCTTGCATGTGGATGGATACATGTGTTCAGAGGTCAGCGTCGGTTATCTCCCTCAGTTGCTCTCCACTCTATTACTTTTTAGAAAGGCTCACTGCTATTTTATATGTATGCATGTTTTTATCTGCATGTATGTAATGACACCGCACACCTGTCCTGGTGTAGGAGGAGGCCAGAAGAGGGCGCTAGATCTCCTGAGACAAGTTAGAGATTGTTGTGAGCCAGCATGTGGGTGCTGGGAATTGAACCAGGGACCGCTAGAAGAGCAGCCAGTGCTCGCTCTTAACTGCTTAAGCATCTCTCCAGCCCCCACATATTTTTTTATAGATTTCTTCTCCCCTCTCTCCCCATGTATGTGTGCCACATGTCTTTGGGTGCCCATGGAGGCTAGAAGAGGTTGCCAGCCCTCTCCCTTGGAGCAGGAGCTGCAGGTGGTTGTGAGTCATCGTGTCTGCTGGGAACTGAATTTAGGTCTCCTGTAAGAGCAGCCAGCACTCTTAACTACTGAGCTGCCTCTCTAGCCTCGTCCACCTTTCTCGGACAGGGCCTCTCGCTGAGCCTGAAGCTCGCTGATCTGGCTGTGCTGGCTGGTGGGCCAACAGGCACCAGGTACTCTCCGATGTTTCCCTCCCAGTCTCAGGATTATGGGTCTGAGCTGTTACGCCCTTTACATGGATGCTGGGGATCTGTGGTCCTCATGGTGTGTGGCTTTCCCCAGCCCCTGCCTTCTGTTATACTTCACTCAGCTCTTTGCAGTACAGAATGCAGCACCGTGCCCGTTTTATATACACCTCATTTATAGACACCTCATTCAAAGTGACACTGAAGAGGGACGAATGGGGTGGGCAGCCCTGGGCTTGGCAGATCTAGATCCCAAGTGTAGGTACCATCGAATCCGCCCCTTTTGTTCTGTCTGACAAATGCTCAGAACATCCGAAATATGAAAATTCACATTTCTAAAACAAATGAAGTGATTAGCTTTACACACACATTTGTGTCAAGACTCCATGTCACTTGTCTTTCTGTATTGGGCTCAAAATCACCACATGACATGCAAGCCACAGATGGGTGCTAGGAGTGGTGTTGAATTGCGGAGAAAGTGTGCTCACTGGTGTTTCTTCTGTCTTGGTGTGAAAGCCTATACTCTTTTTTTTGGTTTTTCTAGACAAGGGTTCTCTGCATAGCCTTGGCTATCCTAGACTCCCTTTGTAGACCAGGCTGGCCTCGAACTCACTGAGATCCGCATGACTCTGCCTCCCGAGTGCTGGGATTACAGGCGTGTGGCGACACACAGAGCGTGTGCTGACAATCCAGTCAGGCTGCCTGTCGATTGATTTCTGACTTAGATCATTGTCCCAGTGTAAACGGGAGTGATTGACTAAGTGAACCAGTATGCTTTTACTAGAGAGACACGGGAAAGAAGCAGCCGGAATAACCTCAAAAAAATGTGGTGAGATTGCCGAGATTTACACCAGAGTAAGGCAGGTCAGTAAATGAAGACCACGCCAGCCAGAGTTACATGGGTGAAGTTCTGAGCACAAGAGGTCTGCCTGGGAAAACACAGTGAGTGGCAGCACCGGCAGGTCTGTGAAAGGAGGCTAGGGAGGAGGCAGGCTTGACTAGGAAGAATCTCAGCCGAGGGAGGCCCAGCTTGGCCTAGTGCAGAGCCTCAAACTAGCATGATATACAGAGGGCCCATGGCACACAGGCTCTGTGTGAGTGTCCCCCTGTCCCTCCCCCCACCCCACCCCCCCATGAGCTGCATGCTGAGTGCAGGGGGCTCCTGCCTCACCTGTTAGCTCCCTGGACATGCCGTCTCATCCATCACTGCAGATGACAGAGAAGCCGGAGTAGCAAAGCTCCAGCCACTAAAGAGACGAAGTTGAAAGCTTACTAACTTTGTTTTTCTAACTTGGGCGTTTTTTGGGGAAAATGCTTGCGCAGGAGGCCTGCACATCCCCTTGACTTATGAATGCTAGGCAAGCATTCCACCAGCAAGCCACACCCCCAGTGCCAAGGTTTAGCAACCTAATGTGTTTTGAGTGTTTGCCTGCATGCGTGTCTGTGTACCATGTGAACGCTGGTGCTCAAGGGTATCAGAGTATTGCATAGGACCCACTGGAACTGGAATAAGGACAGTGTGAGCTGCCATGTGGACTCTGGGAACTGACTAGGTTCTCTGGAAGAGCAGCCAGTTCAGTTAACTGCTGAGCTGTTAACTCATCTCTCCAGCCTCAAGTTTAGTAACTTTTGTTGTTGTTGTTGTTAAGACAGGGTCTCTTTGCATAACCCTGGCTCTCCTGGAACTCACTATGTAGACCAGGCTGGCTTCAAAATCATAGAGATCCACCTGCCTCTGCCTCCCGAATGATGATAACTTTTGATATTCAAGAGAAAAGGATGGAAGGAAAGAAGGAAGGAAGGAAG